ATAATACGAGTTGGCACTTTCTTCGCTACCCGTATTCCACTTTCTTTGCTTTCTGGTCAAACCTGTAAAAGTTAGGACCAAAGCCAAAATCCCCTCTCGATTCCTCCAATGAACGAGAGGTCCACTTTCAAATCGGGAGATAGAATATAAAATTCTTCCTCTCCCGTTTCTCAATCTGTCTTTGCTTTTAGAAAAGACACGATTGTCAAATCCGGGCACTCGATGCACGGGGAATTTTATCCCGAAGCCTGAGTAGGGATAAGTCAACGCCTAACACGCGTTGCCGGGTAGTCTATTCCCGTGAGAAAGACGAAGTCTATGTATTCAAAATCATAGCATTAAGTCTAAGAGAAGCAATTCTCTTAGCACAACGTTACATGTGAAACGGGTTTTAATAATTCACATGCTAGCCCGATTCAAACGGTAATCGGTAAAGGCACGTCAAACCCGTTGATGGCTGGGGGTTTGCCAAAAATCCCAAAGCCTATGTCTAACACACATGGCCGGTTAGTCTTTGACCGTAAAAAGGACAAAAGACCACATATTCAACATTGTGGCAGGATGTTATTGATAACACCGTAATCCGTGCCTCACACGCACGGGGAATTTTGTCCCGAAGCCTAAGTAGGGATAAGTCAACGTCTAATGCACGTTGCCGGGTAGCCTATTCCCGTAACAATGGCGAAGTCTACGTATTCAATATCGTAGCACTAAAAGGGTTAACTCTTTTAGCTTAAACGTCACATAGGAGCGGACTTAAACAATCCGCATGCTAGCCCGACTCAAACGGTAGTCGGTAAAGGCTAATCAAATCCGTTGAAGGCTGGGGATTAGCCAAAAATCCTAAAGTCAACGCCTAACACGCGTTGCCGGGTAGTCTATTCCCGTGAGAAAGACGAAGTCTACGTATTCAATATCGTAGCACTAAGAGCGTTAACTCTCTTAGCACAGCGTCACATGCGGAACGGACTTAAACAATCCGCATGCTAGCCCGACTCAAACGGTAGTCGGTAAAGGCTCATCAAATCCGTTGATGGCTGAGGATTTGCCAAAAATTCTATAACTGCGAGTCATTGACGCATCAACTCCACTAGTTGGTCTCGTGGCTCGAGCACCCAACAAATTCAGGATAAAACCCACAGATGCAGATGAATCAGCTTTAACAGTTGGTCCTGCAGCCCCGACACCTGGGACCGCTTTGCTCCAATACCTTAAGAGCTTAAACTGTGTATACTCCAGCAAACGTACGAGTATAAACTGTGTTAATGGCGATTCGAAACCCTAGAGTCAACGCCGGCCAACGCGTAACCCTAGGTCGACGCCAGTCAACGCGTTGCGACAAAAGTCAACGTTCGAGGATCCAAAATCCACACCAATCAACGTTCGACGATTCGAAACCCTAAGGGTCAACGCCGGCCAACGCGTAACCCTAGGTCAACGCCAGTCAACGCGTTGCAACAAAAGTCAACGTTCGAGGATTCAAAGTCCACACTAAGAGCATCTCCAACAGCTTCTCCAAAATTTTCTCCAAAATGGAGAAACAAAAGTCATATTCTCCAAATTATTTTTGCTCCAACTCCAACAGCTTCCCCATTTTGAAAAATCGCATTTATTACAATAATAAAGCTCTCCCCAAAAAATTTGGAGAATGCTGCAGATTTGGGGAATGCTCCCTATTTTTTCTCCTCCTTCCCTATTTTGTGGAATGAGATGGGGAATCCGTTGGACAAAAAAAAGCTCTATATTCTCCAAATTTGAGTATTTCAAGAAGATGGGGAAGCTGTTGGAGATGCTCTAATCAACGTTCGACGATTCAAAACCCTAGGGTCAACGTCGGTCAACGCGTAACCCTAGGTCAACGCCGGTCAACGCGTTGCGACAAAAAAGTCAACACACCGGGATCCGAAACCCTAAGCCAGCACAATGTGGCGGAGGTAGTTCAAAGTCAACTCAATGACACGAGCCGAACTCAATTCATCAGCTGCAAACTCGAGACTCCGACGACGGCCAAGCGATAAACGCAGCGCCGGAAGAACTTCGGCTATTCGTCAAAGCATCGGACCGAAAATCGAAGGAGCCAAGAGTCGAAGCTAACTACAGGTCCTTACGCCGACTGAAGGCCAGACCAATCACATCCAAAGTATTCCAGCCTCTTCTATAAAAGAAACGAGTCAGGAACACTTTGGAGGGGGTATCTGTAGGCATCAAAAATTGCCTATAGGTCTCCACGAACGGTTCAGCGTTAGAGAGCGACGATGAACATCACTATCCGAGCCACAGGAGTCCAATTGACATCGACGAACGACTGAAGTGAATCGACGAGCTACGTGAGCTGATAGGATTACGGAACAACCAAGACCCGGACCAATCGGGAACCAGGCACTGTTCACAAAAAGGACAACGCCCTACCTACCCCCTACACACTCCTAAACACTATAAATAGCCCCCTTGGGCCTTGCTTTTGAGAGGGGGATTTTTGGAGAGCCTTGGCGAAGCCCTGCTGCAGTGGAGAGTGGCCGTGCGCTTCAACAAGAAGAGGAGAGGTCTACATCAGCACCTTCATCATCCGATCCTTAGTATTAGCCCTTGGCGTTAATACTAAGAAGAGCTAATATCTCGCTTAGCCGAGATAGACACTTTAAACTTCTAGATCTCACGCGGATCGACGAAGTTCTGCTTCTATATCCCTCCGCGGATAGACGAAGCTCTGCCCGATTTTCTCGGAGCGGATCTGATTGCCCGGTGGTCCACGGATATCAACGTCCCCGTCACAGGCCAAAGACCCACGCAAGCAAGAGATGACAAACAGATCTTGCGTTTGTTTGAAAGGAGTTGTATTTCTTTTGTTTTCATTGTGTAAAGGTCTTATAAAAAGACTATCTTTTTGTTTCATTGTAACGATCGAAGTTGTAATGAATGCAGCAATGAATACAACAACTTTTTCCGCAAACAATTGTTATCATTAAAATTATGTCATGGGGACATGTAATCCATCAGACACAAGAGAATAAAATGGTTTAACGAGGAGCAATTTCTCAAATTATATAAGCTGGGGGTCAATCTCCTTTCAACTAGGGGAGACTAATGTGGGACGCATAACGAACAAACTTATGGAGTAGTGGAACCGTTATGAGCTAAGCGTAGATACGGAAGCATTGTTGACTTATCCTCAAAGACATAATCATATGTCCTGATTCGATAGGCGAATTTAGACATATTATATTTATAAATTGCCTGTCTTGATGAGACAGAGCCATTCAAAATGGCAAAATCCCAAATCTTCGTCAATGCATCCTACATCTGTTAGAGGCTTAAATCCTAACAAAACCAAAGTTAAAACTGAGTAGATGTTTCACTTTCCCTTAGAAATTTGGTATTGAGTTCTGTAGTTCTTCTTCTCTACACTATTGATGATAATTTTGCCTCTGTTAATCGATTGGTTTATAACTAATATACATTGTATAATTGCAGATCATACATTCTAAATTGTATATAGTTCTATGTAGGTTTCTTGAGTCAATTTGGGCTAATAGAACAAATTAATACTTGCAAAATTCTAAAATTTATATTCGTATATGCTCTTAACCCAAATGTCATTGAGGTTATTTGTCTTTTTATCCCCAAAATCTTCAATATGTGCATATTTCCCCTCAAATCTTCTATAATTGCATATTTATCCCCCAAATATTTAATTCTGAGTTATTATACCATCTACAGTTAACCACAAAGTATTTCTTATTATTGTGTTAGGTTATCAGATGAGTTTAAACAAATACCTAAAACACCCCCAGGTGTTTAAACTTTAAATATATTTACAACTTGAGGTGATTACAAAGTTGCAAGCTCCCTCCAATCTCCAGCATCCAACTTTGCATTCTCGTATGCCCGGTTCCTGACATGTTCACTTATTGCCAACCATAAAAAATGCCACCGTGAAAAACCTGCACCGCTTAAAATGGAAGGAATGTCAGTAGAGCATCTTCTCCCATAGAAGCTAAGCATTCTGATATCTTTCAAATTTCAATGAGGCAGGTTGTATATAAATTCCCTTCTAAAGATAAAAGTTGCTGTCCAATAAAAACAACATGCTACTGCACAACGACAAATGCTGCTTCCTGGCAGCAGCATTTAAGCAGCATTTAGTTGTTGACCACAAGCAGCAGCACTTTGCTGCTGCTGGGACGCAGCATTAAGCTGCTGACCAACAGCAACAGTTTATGTTGTTGTTGATGATCATGAACACCCCGACGAGAGAGTCACGCTGGATTTGGTGGTTTGGGGGTAAAAGTTGCTCCTGTGTATGGAGGTAGGAGAAGATGAATTCCTCTGTGTTTGTCTGGAAGGGGTTTATTTTTGTCCAGTGACCCTTCCACCATTTAATCGTTAACATTGTTAACTTTGGAGGGTATAGTAACACAAATTTGATGTTTTTTTTTTGTTGGGGGAAGGGGGTTGGTAAATATGCAATTATGATTTTTTGGGGGGACGGGTATGTAGGCAAATAACCCTGTGCATTGTTGGTTCAGACATCACTACTGTCACCAGAAAAAGCTGCGTATGGGATAAACTGTAAAAGTAACAATATGAACATATATTGCCCTTGTTCTCTTACTCGATTTGGGAGTTGAACATTTTTTGAGGCGGGAATGATCTATAAGGTATGTTATCAATTTTAGAAAAAAAAAGTTGTGCCTACTTATGTTTTACATGGCCTTAGAAACCATGAATGTCATTATAATATCAGCTTGTCCTCGTATGTAGATTGTAGATCTCTCATAATTCTTAATTCTTACTTTATCTTTTTGTGGTCCATTGCTGGTGTTTCTTACAGAAAAATCAGCTGAGCCTGAGTGTTATTTGTTGTTTTTTGTTTTTCCATTTTTAGTTTCATACTAAAATGACAACAGATTTATGGTTTCCAATTTTCCATGATAGTAACTAGTTTATTTTATGAGTATGTTACGCATAGCGTGTTATTCTAACATTTATCTACTTGACAGTGTCTCGAGCACTTTTGCTTGCTAGAGCACCATCTCCTGGTGATGTTTCTGGGCATCCGCTGGTTAAGGTTGTTTACCTTTAACTTAATTTATTTATAACAATGATTCCCATTATTTTGATTTATGAACTATGTGCCTATGGTTGCACCGATGGCTTTATAGGAATCTTACAACATGGCACATGAGATTGAGAGGAAGCGGGCGTTGTCAGCACTATTCTCTCAAACAAAGCAACAAGAGCGAAGAGATGCTGAGGTACAAAGTCTTCTTACATTTTAACTCTTGTGTGCACTGACGGGGCATGGAATTTTGAATGCCTTATGGATGTTATTCCTACTTGCAGGTTTTGAATATACTTTTGGATGCCTATATCTTTGAATTTGAAGCTAACATAGTTTTCCTACTTTCAGATCCTAGCTGAAGCTAAACGCATAACAGAGTTACGCATGTCTAGCAAAGTAATTGCTCTTTTCTTTTATTTTTTTTATTTTTTTTTCAAATATGGAACGTTCTCAAAAGTTCTTTTTTTTCTTTTTTTCAAATATGTAACATTCCCTAAATTTTGATATTGAAGTGTTAAATTTTATATCCCTATGCCATTAGCTTATTATAAAATTGCTCTTATGACTTATTGACATAAATCTCTCATGCTATCTTCGCTTTTGGGGTATTCTGACTGTTGATGTTTTCCCCAGGCTAATGAAGATGCTGAATCACCAATAAATACCACTGTTTTAGAATTTATGGAAAAGACATTCAGCCATCATCTGCTGCTGGACCTCTAACTGCAACGACAGAGGGTGCTTCAACTCCCACTTCCCTTCGCATGGTACAGCTGCTGTTACTCTATTTATTTTATTGCTAGCAACTACAAAGTTGCCTAGCTTTTGTTGTCTCTCTTTACTTTGTTAGTTGCTGAACTTTATTCTTTCCTGCTGCATGTATTGTGTGATAAAACATGCTGTTAGAGTTTGTTTTTTCTTTCAATTCATTATGAGGTATAGGGATACTTATAGTCCACATGTATTTACCACTATTTTTAACTTTAAGGTTTGAAGATATTTTAGAAAAATCTCTGCATGATGCCTTGCTGGAGTTTGGCGGCAAAGTGGGCTAGCAGGGCAGCCAGCTGATTACAAATTCAGAATTACAATTGTTTGCCACTCAAATATTGTTATTTGTTGCATTAGGTGCACAACTGTATCCTAATTTAACAGATATTCTGAAATGTTCATCTAGTTGTGTGTTTCAATGCTACAAGAGCGTAAGAATCCCAAGCCTGGATAGAAACAACAGTTCATTCAATTAAAATCAATGTTGAAAAAAGAGGAAGCGCAAGGTGAAGCGCTTGACCCTTTACTGAAGCGAGACATAAGCTTCAAAGTGTGAGGCGTAAGCCTCAAGAGTTTAAGCATTTTAATTTTAAAATTTGTAAACACTATGAACATGTAATAAATGGTGGTATGGTAATTTACAAATAAATACTATAATGTTCCGATTAGTAATTAATAATTAAATATGTGAAGTATAGACGCAAATTACAATAAACTAAGCTATATGCATAACATACATGTCTTATTTATACCCACATAGTCATATTGAAGATACACAAGACACTTTAATGTCAGTAAAAAATTGTTCTATATCCTCCCATCATGTCTAAAGTGTGCGCTTCAAAAGCAAAACGCTTTATGAAGAGCGAAGCGCACACTTCAATTATGCTTTAAGCGATGAGGCGTAAGCTTCAAGGAATAAATACCTTCACTCTTGAGTTTTGAAGCATGTACCCCTCAAAAAGTTTCGAAGCAAGTACGAAGCAAGTTTCAAAGTGAGTTTCAATAAACCTTTTCCGAATATTGATTAAAATACTGTGCCTGGAAAGAAGATAGGAGAAGCTAGAGTGCTTGCTGTTCCAAATGGAAATATCGTGCATGACAATTAATATGAAGAAATGGCACTGGTTTCCTCTACTTATCTTGGTTTCAGCCTAACCCTGAAACAAGATGTTATGGCTCTTTTCTTTACATGTGTGATCAACATGTCAAACTTTCTTAGATGTTCTTGAATGTTCATTTGCAAGTGGATTTAATAAATTCACAATCTATAGAAGTTTTTATTGTTATTGGAAACTGTTTGATTTGTTAGTCGGAGAATTCGCTAGTCAAAATCGGGATTTCACTAGAATGGAAAAGGTAGGTGTATAGTTAACATGATATAGAGACTTACATTCATCTCACAGGCACATGCTCGTACAAAATGTCAGTCACCATGGATTATTTGAAATGACAGTCTACCATTCCGACTTATTTGTTATTGTTTATGAAGACGATAGTTTGTTTTAAAGGAAAAATATAACATCATTCACATGCTAATATCTTCTAATAACACCCCTCTCGGCACTCTCAATGAAGTTATCGCATGGTTATGATTCCATCAGGTATTTTTGTCTTCATGCCTCTTTTATTATATTTTCTTTTGTAGTGACACAGTTTCTTTTGCATTGCATTCCTTATTCATAATATCTTTTTACTCGTATGAAAAATCTTTAGCTGCGGGTTTATTTGAGAAGTTACGCTCTTGAGCAAATGGTGCAAGCAGCAAGCTCTACTGCTGGACTCAGAACCATCAAGAGAGTTGATCAGACTTTGCAGGATCTTGGGGTTTGTCTCTGTTACTTCCAACATAATCTTTTTCATAGGGCTATTTAATTAGTTTCTGGAGAAGTTATTAAAAAACAATTTAATGCTTTTACCTTTTGTTTTCTTTCAGTCTCTAGTAGTTTTTAGCTGAAATTGTCAGTCTTGTTGACTTAGAAATCTAAATTGTTTCTTCCAAAGATTCATTTGACATATCACTATTCATTTCCTTTCTAGGTCCATTTAAAGCCAAAGGTCCCGACAAAATCCGTTTGTGCAGAACATCTTGAATTACGTAAAGAAATCCTCACCCTGCTCAATTTACAGAAACAGGTTCGTATTCCTATTATCTTGTATATGATGTCAACCTTTGTGCTTTAAATCTATCCCATTTTTTTAACCTATATATAATTTGCTGTTTGTTATGTTTGCTTTCTATATTCTTCCAAAGTTTTGCCACCTGTCCATGCGAGCAGCTCTTTGATGGTTAAACCGTTAATATTTTGACCGGAAATATTAATTCCTTTATCACAGGTTTGAAATGTCACTTGCACCTCAATAGTTAAAAACAATCTGTACCAAATAATATGTGGTCCTTCACTTTGTTCATTTTAGACCCGAGGCAATGAGTTGTTTATATTTTCTCAAATGTATACTATTGTGATCAGTCAACTAGCAATTTTTTATGTACTAATATTCTCATGATTGCTTCTTGTTCTTCAAAGCATATCAATCATCCAAATAGAAAATTCATTATCCACCATCCATACTTAAACTGTGCAACTATTTCAAAAATCTCTGGTTGATTGAAATTTGATGTGATGATGATACACAACTGAATGTGTGCTGGTTGTGTGAGTGATATATATTTCAAAGGGTTGCTTGATGGTCGATTTGGCACGCATGGCACATGCAGATGAAGTGGTATGACCTTGAAGTGGATTGATGGCTAAAGTAATTAAATGTAGGGATTTCTGCAGCCTTAAAGTTTGAGTGTGGCATGGAGAAGAGTTTTGGTTAAATGTCAAAAAGTTGTAAAATAATAAGCTACCATATATAACTGTTGTCATATGAACTTTTCAAAAGCCACAAACTCTGTTGTAAAGTTGTGGAAGTGAAACATGGGGGCTCTGCTATTGAGTTGATGGTTGGTTTGCTAGTTTTACATATGAGGGTACACAAGTCCAAAATCAATTGCAATAAACTGGAAAGCGAGAACATTCTGTTTTATGGAATGGTAAGTAAGATATTGTAGTGTGGCTGTGGAGCTTGGCTTGGCCTTATTATTATTATTATTTTTTTCATTTTTTTTGGGTCATTGAGCTCCTGCTTGCATTCAGATATTTTTATAGAGTATCAAATTAGTCATTGTAATCAGTTTGAGTCATCTTTTGTTCCTTATGGTCCATCAAGTATATCCTATCAGTTATCTATTGTTTCTTGACGTTACTGTTAATGTAGTTTCATATGAGTCACGAGTAGGTTTCTTTTGGTTTGAATGGTGGGGAGGCTTGTTGATCCAAGGGATAGTTAGCAGTTTCCTGTTTCTGCAACCTGTTTGATTCGTTTTTCTAAGAAATCATAATAGTACATATTGTTCTCACCAAATACTATTATCTATTTGTAACAATGTTCGTTATTCGCTGGCAACAATTTTGCTTCACCTTTTTTCCTAGCTCTGCCGGCAATTCTTGCCTCTTCTACATCCTAAATTTCGAGAAAGTAGCTTAATTTTTAATTTGTTTTCCTGGGTGCAAAGCTGTAATATTGACCGTCTTTTCTTTCTTAGTTCCAATTCACCACAAATGTCCATGGTCTCCAAATTTGTATTTCTATCCTTACCTATTTCTAACTGCAAATAGGTTTTGGTTTGCATATTTTCAATATAGGAGACTTCTTTAATTTGCTTTATACTTCAAAATATTGATTTTTCCTTTTCCTATTAGACTGTAGTGTTTTTCAGCTGCTAGAAAATCCTCTTATTATTCTATTACAGTCTCCTGAGAGATTTTTTCCTAATGTAGAAACTTCAGCTACATAAAATCTGGAGTTTGTTCCGGTAGTTCCCATCTCAAGAGTCTGTTATCTGTTTCGAGCAATTTGCAAACCTTGAAGGGAGCGCAGTTAAAATGTAGTTGAGATCTTCTCTTTCTAGATGAAAGGTTTGATCAGGAAAGATATTTGCCTGCTTTATGAACTAGTGCTAATTAGAGCACTTACATAGTTTCCACCTTATAATATTTATATTAGCACTGAAGAAACAGAGCTGAAATCATCACGATATATGCCTATCTATTTTTCATTGAACTTTAAATTTTAGTATTCTTTTTTACTATTTGCTGCTTTTCATGCAGATGGTTCTAGCCTTCTACCTCAATGATCTCTATTTTATGATATTGAATAATATCATAAAATAGAGGCAAAGATACCATTTTTTTGGGTATACATGGCTTTTGGTTTTCACTTATTCACTATGTGGAGCTATCTTGTCTGCTTAACTTGAAAGGACTTATTTTAACTTCCAGTAGAGTAAATATTGCATTGAACTAAAGCTATGAAATCATTTTTATTTGCCATCTTCCCATGACCTCCATTTGTTCTATGACAGGTGCAAAATAGAGATGCTGAAGCTGCAAACCGTGATAGTTCATATACAGAAGCATCAAGCACTCCTAAGGTACGTGTTAGCCACAGTTCTTTGTTCAGCAAATTTATATCGTAGTATAGTCTGAAAGCATCTAATCCATGATACTTCCTTCAGAAAAATGCATCACCTGGTGGGATGTGGCATATATATTTCTATTTTATATTTTCTATATAAATGTTGCCTATGTTGTTGCCATTGTACTGAAGTATTTAGTTCTATTTGCTTTTGAAAGTCGCTGGATACATGACAATCGCAATTTCATTCTATCTTTAATTATGTTCCGATAACTTGATTTCTATTTTGCAGCGGTCTTATCGTGGAGACATGGATAGAACATTTGTCCCGGAATCTGCTGGTTTTGGAGGTAACTTTGAAAATTATGGTGTAATATTTATGTTTAATAATTTGTTCTTTTCATTATTAATAATGGAAAGCTATTATATGAACAATGATGCATTTGCATTAGTGTTTTCAGGCGAGCGAACAGTCAAAAGGGATCACAAGCGCAAGGTCACTACACCTGAACCTAATTTTATTCTCAAATTTTATGATTTTAAGAGGTCCATGTTCTAACTTTGTTTCTGACGTTTATGATTTTAAGGCGTCTGGAAGATTTATCGATGCTCCACCATCACCTCCGCAATCTAAGAGACCAAGGAAGCTAAAGGCTTCCGATTGATGATCTTTTCACGTGCAACATTTTCATTGTGTTTATAAATTATTCACCAATCAATGTAATCTTGGTGCTGAGTAGCTTTTGTGTTGTAGTAGCTAAAAGGAAAACCAAGCTCTTTTTAGCTTAGTTCATGTATAGCCTACTCACCTTCCTGTTGGCTGTTGCTTACATGTGATAATTGCCTAGTTATGGTTACATAATTTAACTATCAAGATTGTCACATTCTCAGAAGCTGCGATTAGGTTTTAAAAAAAAAATTTCCTTTAGTTGTGAAAGGAGGCGGGAAAGGCAAATACCTCAAAATACAGGGGGCAAAGGCATTTTGGTTGGATGTTAATTAAGCCGTAAGATTGCTTTTTATTTTGTAATTCATCAAAGATGAACGAAAATGAACGATGTTGTGTGTTATAACTGCAATCATGGTTTTGTAATTCATTAGAAATTATTAGATGACTTAATAATCTTGATTTTTTTCTTTTTTCTTTTTTGTTAGTTTCAACTTGATGTTAGTTAACTAAGTATATTTAAAAATTCAAGAGTTTTGTTAGCTCTAGTTTGTTTTGAACTATACAAATTGTTGTGTACGTTGAAGATTTTTGTAAGCTGTAACCCCATGATTTTGAACAAATTTTTCTTATTTTGAATAAAAATTTGTTGTGTACATTAAAATTCATAATTTTTATATGCTATAATTCACTTTTTTTTAATCAAATTTTGTTCGTTTCGAATGAGTGCAAATTTTTTAAGTAAGTACTTGAAAATTTACTATGTTTCAAGAGCTACAATTCATAAATTTTGACAAATTTTATTCGTTTCCAACTAAAACAAATTTCTTATTTGGAATTCAAAAATTCTCAATTTTCATGGACTGTAATCCATGAATTTTAACAATTTTTGTTCATTTCAAGTGAATATAAATTCATCACGTATTGTAAAATTCACGATTTCATGAACTATAATTCACGATTTTTGTCAAATTTGGTTCGTTTTAAATGAATTAAAACTTATTATGTATACGTTAAAATTTGTGATTTCACTATCGACCTGAGACTTTTATCAATTTTGGTTCGTTGGAACGATTGCAAATTTGTTATATGTATATATCAAAATTTGTAAATTTATAATTTTCATGAACTACAACATGAGATTTTGACTATTTTTGTTTGTTTCGAATGGATGCAAATTTATTACATGTACAAACAAAATTTACGATTTTCATGAGTTAAGCTCCAGATTTTTACTATTTTTTATTGTTTCCAGCAAATGCAAATTTATTACATGCAGGTCAAATTTTCTGATATTAATGACCTATAACCTAAGAATTTTGTTAATGTTTTATCGATTCTAACGAATGCAAATTTATTATGTATGCATTAAAATTTACATTTGTTATGCTCATGATTTTGGACAAATTTTGTTCATCTCCAACAAATTAAAATTTAATATGCACACATTCACGATTTTACGAACTATAGCCCACAGTTTTCGATAGTTTGTGTTCATTTTTTTGCATTTTTACATTTTTACGATTTTAATAAACTGTAATCTATGATTTTTATCCATTTTAATGTTTGCGTCAAAAGTTGCTCTTGCTGTGGAATTCATTATATCTTCGATCGATTACAATAAATTCAAAGAAATAGTCTTTTTATAAGATCTCTTTTACACAACAAAATAAAAATTACAACTTCTTAGAAACAAACGCAGGATCGTTGTTTGGATCGCTGTTTGCGTGGGATCTTTGCCTGTGCCGGGAGCGCTTTGACTCGTGGACCACCAAATCATAGATTCTGATTGAATCGATGAGGGGTTTAATGATTCTTCCTTCGTTTATCGAAGTGAGAATTTGAAACGATATCTTATCAAAGTAAGATAGTCGTTCTTCTTAAGATCAAGTCAAAGCTCGAATCTCAAGGGATTGCCAGAAGCTCAGGAATTCTGCTCTCTCTGCTCCCAAGTGCTCAAGAATGATCAACCCCTCTAAAAAATGGCCTTCGGGGGGTATTTATAGCCCCTAGGAACAGTTGGTGGAAAACAAGCTCGCGAGACAGCATTTGCTGTCTCGCCGCCGAGACAGTAAACGCCCGGAACTTTCGTCCCGGAAACAGTAATCCGTCAGGCAGTTTTCGTTTTAACTGCTACTCCCACCTTTAAACTCCGTTATTTTGGCACAGTATATACAACGTGATTCTCGGCGCCACGACGTATTCCCACCGTCCTTGAACGTTAGTGGCACGTGTAGGGCAGTTACAAAGGCCGGTTTTGACCATCTGAGAGTTGTCTCCGGCAACAGTAAAATTCTGTCTCGCACAGCGAGACAGAGTTAAAACTGTCTCGCCACGGCGAGACAGTTGAAGACTGATCTCGCGAGTGGGCGAGACAGTAAAAGTCTGTCTCGCCCGCGAGACAGTAAAGACTGTCTCGCACGGCGAGACAGTCAAGTCTGTCTCGCGTGCGAGACAGTAAAGGCTGTCTCGCGTACGAGACAGTCTATATTTGTGTTCTTTTTGACATTTTGGATGACTTCCTTTTGAGCTGTGTTTGGATATCTCTCAGTATTTTTTGACGCCTACAGATACCCCCTCCAAAGTATTCCAGACTTAATCTTTTATAGAGGAGTTCTGGGATGCTTTGGATAAGATAGGTCTTACTTGCGATCACTTCAATGCTTGGTTGAGTAGATCGTGTAGAAGGATTTGTAAATGGCTTCCACGCTTGATCTCTTCTTCTTTTAGTCTATTCAGTTCTTTGTAGAATAGCTAATGTTCTCCCGACATCGCGTTTATCGCTTCACCGTTGTTGAGATCTTGAATCGAAGCTGGTACTTGTTCTTGTGGGTTCAGCTTTTGTCACTGAATTAATACATCCATTGAGAGCTCACCAGGTTATCCTTAAGAATATTCAGATTAATATTCTCCAGAAACTTCCTGTTGAAGGTAGGGAAACAGTTTAGACTCGTGTACCTATTGGAGTAATATGATCTCTTTTTTGTTGGTAGAGATGAACCCAATGATGGTTAGGAAGAATTTTATATTCTATCTCCTAGTCTCTTGTTTGTTGGTAGAGATGAACTCAATGATGGAGAGGAAGAATTTTATATTCTATCTCCTGGTCTCTTGTTTGTTGGTAGAGATAAACCCAAAATCGGAGAGGAAGAATTTTATATTCTATCTCCTGGTCTCTTGTTTGTTGGTAGAGATAAACCCGAAATCGGAGAGTAAGAATTTTATATTCTATCTCCTGGTGTAAAGGAAACTCAAAATGAGATCTCCACTTAGAGGATCTGGATTGGTTTGAATAATCCTAACTGTCATAAGGTTTGATTATCCAATTCAAAAGTGGACCTTTCGATAACAATGTGAATCGAAAGGAGATTGTGGTTGTGGTCCTAACTGTAGTAAGGTTTGACCAAGTGGGAGTTTAAGAGACGATCCTAACTGTTTAAAGGTTTGATCGTTCAATTTGTGGACCTCTTGTTCATGGAAGGAATCGAGAGGGGATTTTGGCTTTGGTCCTAACTGTTTAAATGTTTGACCAAATGGGAATTTGAGACGATCCTAACTGTTTAAATATTTGATCGTTCAATTTGTGGACCTCTCGTTCATAGAAGGAATCGAGAGGGGATTTTGGTTTTGGTCCTAACTGTTTAAAGGTTTGACCAAATAGGGGTTTTGAGACGATCCTAACTGTTTAAAGGTTTGATCGTTCAATTTGTGGACCTCTCGTTCATGGAAGGAATCGAGAGGGGACTTTGGCTTTGGTCCTAACTGTTTAAAGGTTTGACCAAATGGGAATTTGAGACGAAGATTGATTCAACGAAGTGATCGAATCTTATCTCAGCAAAAGAGTATTCAGAAATCACCGTGGGGATGTAGTGTTTATCACTTTGTTTGTAATGATCGGGTTATCCCTAAGAAAATTACATATAGCATTCTTTCGGGAAATTCCCGTTACATGAATTATCCACCCCTAGTTTTCTTTGCAAAACCGGGTGTAACGAGGAGTACGTTATCCTCAGTCGTATGTTCGGGTTATCCTTAAGAATATAAGATTCTCCAGGAACTTCCCGTTACATAAATCATCCACCCCCAGCTTCCTTTGCGAAACCGGGTTTAGCATTGTACTTAGTTGGATGACCGAGAAGCAGTTTATACTCATATACTCTTTGGAGTGTGGGGAAACAGTTTATACTCATGCACCCACTGGAGTTATGGGGAAACAGTTTATACTCGTGTATCCAATGGAGTATTGTCGTCTTTAATCGGCTTGTTTTGCCATTATGACGCCGGTGTCAATTAGGGCTTGGATTTTGTTTTTGAGTCCGAAGCAAATCTCAGTGGGATGAAGAACCCTTCTGTGGTACGCACAGTAGTTTGGATCCGTAATCCTTTTAGCTCCCTCCTGATCTTTAATAGGTAGCAACTCAATTTTGTCATTAGCGATGAGGTATTCCAATATGGCTGGAGCTTCATCATCTTGGAAAGAATACTCCTTTTGGAACCTCGGATCGAGAGTCGCGTTCACAGCGATTGTAGATGTCATCGGTTGGCTTTTCTCAGCTTTCTTTCTTTTAAGAAAGTATTCAGCCTGTTCGCCGCGCATTTTCAAATCTTTCCAAGTTTTGGATGGTACGACCCCCAGGGTTTCCAGGACATCGATGGAGAGATTATCGTGGCATGTTTGCAGGATGAACTCCTCTGTAACAGGATCTCTGCAATTCATTGCCTTGTTACGGAAGCGCTTAACAAAATTGTCGACTGACTCTCCGTATTTTTGTTTTTAGTTGCTGAGGAACAAACTTTCCATGTCATCCCAGCAATTGATGCTCCCTGGCTTGAGCCGTCGGTACCAATCGAAGGCGGGCCCACGAAGGGTGCCAACGAATGACCGGACCATTAAAGCCTCATTTCCAGAGATCATGCCCAAATAAGACTTGAAATAAATAAAATGCTGAGTAGGCGCGCTCTTCCCGTCAAACGGTGTGAAGTTAATCAGATTGAATTTTGACGGATACGGTATTGAATCCCATTCTCTTGGATAGGGACATGGAATACCCGTCTTTTTTACTTCTTGAGCCGTCATCAAAGCGTTGATTTTGTTTTCAAGCTCTTGCATTTTCTTGTCCTCATCTTCATCTCTCTCTGAGTGATGTCGAGCAGAAATAATTGGGCCACCCCCAGTGTTACTAAGCGGTGCAATTGAACCACCCCCCAATGTTGTTATTAGGAGGATCTGTTAAACCACCCCCAGTGTTATTGTCATTAGGAGGTGTATCAGCCATAACGACTTCATCCACTTCTGGATCACTGTCATCTATAACATTCTGAATGTTGTGGCTGGATTCAGCTCGCTAGCTGGATTCAGGAGGTTGAG